AATGCAAGAAGTTGGAGAGGACTCGGCTGTATCAACAGTCCCAACGACAACGTCCCTTTGATATAACGAAGAATTCTTTTGAGCAGACAAAAATGAGCATTTAAAGGATGTTGCATAAACTGACATAGTTTGTTTGATGTATAGGAAATATCAAGCCTTGTAATATTCAAATATTGTAATGACCCTAGAAGATGTTTATAAAAATCTGGGTTGGCATACGATTCTTGGGTGTCAACTGATGAAATTATTTTGATTGTCATTGGAGTAGAAGGAAGTTTGCAGTCCTGCATACCATCCCGATTAAGAATAGCTAAAGTATAGATTGCTTGATTTAAGTATAAACCAGTTGAAGTTGGAAGAACATGAATGATAAGAAAATGATGTATAGATCTCAAATTTTTTAACTGAAAATGCTTGTGAAGATCCATTAGTAAATGTTGAATGAGTTGTTCATTGCTACTGATTAACAAAATATCATCAACATAGATCAAAATATAAAGAGCAATAGTACAGCTTTGATAAATCAACAAAGATGGATCAACAGTGCTTTTCTAAAAACCAAAAATAAACAAATGAGTAGAAAAGGTAGTAAACCATTGCCTTGGAGATTGTTTTAAGCCATTATGGACTTCTTGAGAAGACAAACATAATTTGGATGCATCGGATCAAGAAAACCAGATGGTTGAGACAATCTTTAATATCACTATGTAAAAAGGCATTAGATACATCTAATTGCAAAATTTTCCACTCGTGAGTGGCCGCAACAGTGAGAAGAATGTGTATAGTAGGAATTTTAGTAACTGGACTAAAGGTTTTTAAGTAGTCCAAACCATACTTGTTTAAACCCTTGATCAACCAATCTAGCTTTATGTCTAGCAATTGAGCCATTTGCATTATATTTTGTTTTGAAAATCCACTTGCAGCCAAAAATATTTTGTATAGGAGATGGTGGAACTAGTGTCCAAGTATCTTGAGCTTGAAGAGCATCAAATTCTACAAACATAGCCTGCCGCCAAACAAGTTGCTCGGAAGCTTGAGAATAGCAAGTGGGATCGATAGGATAAAGATTATGAGACATGCTAACAATATGTTTTGATTTTAAATGACCAATTTTAAAAAGTGTGAGCATATAATGAGTGTAATGAGGTGGCTGAGAAGAATTGTTTGATATAGGAGAGTGATTGAATTGTAGTTGGAGAGATTGCATTTGGAGAAAAGATATGTTGTGAAGAGTTAGGAGAAGGACAACAAGGAGTTGGGAAAGAGGAGAAATTAGAAAGATCGGAGGATTGAGATGAAGCATCTGGCCCTGGAAATCTAAGTGGAACTAAGTTTAATGGTGGATGATATTGTTGAGGTGGTGGAGATGATTAAGAGTTGTTGGTTGAGTGAAAAGGAAAAATATGTTCAAAGAATTAAACATGTCTTGAAATGATGATCCTATGAGCTTGAAGATTGTAGCATTTATAATCTTTAGAAGTTGAACCATAGCCAAAGAAAACACAAGGAGATGATTTGGGATCAAATTTATGCTTGCAAATATGTGGCGTTTATTGATAGCATAAACAACCAAATATTTTTAAATGAGTATTGTTGGATAGTTTCCGGTAAAGTAATTGATAGGGAGATGTTTTAGGGCTATGCAAAATAGGAAAACGATTGATTAGATACATGGTGGAGAGCAAAGTATCAACCTAAAATTGCAAAGGAAGTTTGGCATCAAACATTAAGCTGCGTAGAGTTTCGATAATATGACAATGTTTTCTTTCGGCAACACAATTTTGTTCAAGTGTAGGGGCAACTTAATTGATGAAGGATGCCTGCATTTTGGAGAGTAGCTTGGGAATTGGAGTTAATGAATTCACCAACATTATCAGATCGGAGAATTTTAATAGGTTTATTGAATTGTTTTTCAACTGAAATTTTAAACAATAAGAATTTAGAAAGAGCTTCAGATTTAAGTTTCATTTAAAAACCCTAACAATAACGAGAATGATCATCCAAAAAAAGTATAAAATGCTTAAATCTTTGAATTGACAAAATAGGAGAAGAACCACATACATCTGTAAATATCAATTCTAAAGGATCTTTGCTACAATTAAAAGAACGAGAAAAAGATAATTTGTGACTCTTTTAAATGAAACTTGGTAAAAGAAGCTTAAAAAACGGTAGGAAGATCAACTTGTGTAGAAAAGATAAATGGAACAACAATGCCAAAGACTACTAAGCAAGGCAATGGAAGTTGATGAGGCTGTTGGTGGAGCTTAAAGTCTATAAAGCCCTTGATGAGAGGGACCTTGGAGAAGAGTTTGATTGTTCATCAAATCCTTGAAAGAAAATCCATATTTATCAAATATAATCGAGCAAGGATTATCATGAACTAATTTATGTGCTGAAAGAAGATTGTATTAGAGAGTAGAAACATGTAATAAGGCTTTAAGACGAAGCTTACAATGTGGAGTTGGAAGGATTCATTGATCATAATGTGTTATTGGCAGCATGTATCCATTTCCAGTTCTGAACTTGTTGGGGACCAGAATATGGTTGGGGTTGTTGAAGAAGATTTATATCATGCGTGATATGTGAAGTTGCTCCTGAGTCGAGAACCCAATCCAAGGAATCTTGAGCAGATATAGCAATTAAAGCAGAGGAAGAGGGCAGTTGATACTGCAAGTTTGCTCTATGTCATCATTAAAGGCAAAGCAGCCTAGTTTTCTGCAAATATGGCATTCAATGTAGGCTGAATTATTTCTTCCACTGCGCAGACTAGCATTATGTATAGAAAATGTAGGTGACGCAACAAATCGGGAGCGTCCTCGAATAGAATAAAATCACGAGCTGCCATGTCCACGAGAAGCAGTTAAAGCTAAATGTGGATCAGGGATCATGAGAGTGGAGCCTGAGCCTTCACGAGCAGATTCAGCCGCAATATTCAGTTCTTTACTACATAACAATGTATAGAAGTCCTCTAGACTGATTGGCTGAATAGTGGTATGAATTGCAGTCTTGAACAATTGATAAAAAGAAGGTAAGCCATTCAACGTATATAGTATTACATCTTCTGGATTCAATGGAGTTCCGGAAGTAGCGATTGCGTCGCATTTACTCTTGATATCGAAAAGATACTGTAGCATTGTTTTATCCTTCATGGATTGAAGTCTTCTTTCGATTGTTTGCCAGATTTCTACGCGGGACTCCAAATTTAAAATTTAGGGTACAATATTCTATGAAATTACAGAGTAAAGGGTTGTTGCAAGGTTATGATCCACAAGTATCCAAATTTGAGTAGGGTTAATTTCACTGGACTCATTAATAATTTGCTTCGTTTGTTTCGGCGTAGAACTGTTTAGGTATCTATCAAAGTCGTTTGTAGTAAACAACTTCAGCACTTTGACTTCTAAAGGGGTAATTATCAAAATTGAGTTGAATATTCATTACCGACCTGACATTAGAAATTTCAGTTGAGGAGGTATGAAAATCTCACTTATTTTGATGGGAGATTGAGAAGAAAGGATAGAGGTACTGATAGAAGAATCAGCATTCATTTTAGTTGGGGTTGACGATGACCAACTCCATAACTCAAGAAAACAGGTAGAACAAAACCTCAGTTCTACAACCGCAACCTGGTTGCTCTGATACCATGAGAACCTGTAGTTGCTTACAATAAAAGGAACAACAGTAAAAGCAAAGGTAAAGGAAGATAGAACATAGATACAAAAATAATTTCATTCACCCCCTTTTTTCACCTTTCTGTTGTTTATAGGATATATAGCTAGACTAAGTAATACAATCAACGGTAAGATGTAAATCAGTTACACTTCAATAACATTGATTTAATCTACAAAAGGTGTTACTGCACGACAGAGGTAGTGGTTGAAAAGTAATGCAATGGGCAGTTGTAGCCGTGCAAAGACAAATGCTTATCACTTCTGCTTATCAACTTAGAAGCAATCAATTTTGCTACCACAATATTGAGTCATTTTCAAATTACACTTAACAATATTTTCTTACTTCAACTTTTGCTTCCTTGTAGCAGAAAAAACATAAAATTTTGTTATAGAAGTGCCATCACTATCATGGCACTATTAATTTAGTTCGAGGGTTCTAATAAAAGCACTCAATGAGGGTTTAAATAAGCCAAATATGAATGAATAAGTCTCTTTGTTTTGTTCTTTTCATTAACTATAGAACCAAACACGAATGAGCTAAAGTTCGTTAGCAAGCTAAAATTTTTTTGGCACGTTTATTATAGAACCAAACAAACCAATTGTGAATAACAAGCCTAGTAAATGACCACAGATGCATCAAACAAATTTTATTATATGACTTCAATTTTTTCATAAAACTTTTGTAATTTTTATAGAGCAACATCTTTTAAAACATCATATTGCATAAAATATATGTTTTTCATGCTTCCTCAGTATATTCGATGGTTTTCAATAGTTAAATAAATAAGCAAATAAAACGTTTGCATATAAATATGCATGGATAAATATATGTATATATGTTCAAATATCTTTCCATATGCTGAGCTTATATCAATCCAGAAAAAAAAAATTGGTCAATTGCAGCTCATTTACTTAATGGACGACTAAAACACAAAAGATTATCAAACCAAACACAGGTTCTTCACAAAAAATGAGATTTTTTCTTACACCCTTGATGTTCATTACTATAATTATGGAACTTGATCAGTTGTTAAAAAAGGATGTCTTTTTTTTTTTTGGGTCGTTAGGAAACAATGTCATGCAAACATTAAAAAAAAATAAAAATTTTGCGGTATTCCAATCGGTTATCAATCCAATGTTAAATTTGTTATCAACCCAAGAACAATTATATAACTCAAAAGGTAATCTGATATTATAGGACAAGAGAGCAAAACTGCCCATTAGACGGGGAAGAAGCAACTGCGTAGCCCATTAGACTGGGAACAAGCAAGTGCGTAGATAATCACGATAAAGCATCGGAGGAATAATAACTGGAGCAGATAGAGACATAACCTCATACCCATAACGCATAAAGAGGAATGACCAATGCTTCCAACAGCTGACCTTCACAAAATTAAAACCTAACTTGGCATTGGCAGAGAGAGAGAGAGAGAGAGAGAGAGAGAGAGACTAGCCGCAATAGGAAGGAGTGACCGGGTGAGCGGAAACTGGGATTTCATGTCGGCCCGGGTGAGATAAATGAACAATGTTATATTATAAAAAACATATTATCCCGGTTAGGGGATAACCCGGTCGACCTAGCATGCAACCCACATCAATTTATACGGGCCAATACTTAAGGCTTGCACGAAGCGTCGAGGGGATTCGAACTCGGTACCTGACCAATGGCCAGCCAGTTCTCCACCACCAGGCCACCGCGCGGTGGGTAACAATGTTATATTTACCACCTATAATTTAAATAATTTTAGGGGCTTAGCATGCTTAAAATATTAGAATTTATGTCGTTCTGTGTGTGTCTTGCCGCCGCCTGAGGAGGGCTCCTTTGCAGGATGTCCTCCTCCGTTTTCCCCCCTCTTCCCTCATCTTCTTCTGCCGCTTCTTTGACACCTCTCCCCAATGATCTCCTTCACTGGAAGCTGCTTTTATCTTCTCAAACGCCCGTCTCTCATGATTTCTCTAACTCGCTTGCTCATCACCCAACAAAAAACTTCACCGCCTTTTTTACTCAGTCGCAGTTCGATGCTGGTGCTCCTGAGTGGTCTTTATCTTTGGTTGGGTATTCCTTAGGCAAAAGACCTTTCTATGAAGCTCTTCTCTCGCTCATCAAGCGTTCATGGAAGCTGAAAGGGGAACTCTCCCTGTTAACGCTTGACGACGGTTTTTTTCTTTTAAAGTTCTCGGCCCCTGAAGATTACGAGATGGCCTGGTCCGGCGGCCCGTGGTTCTTTTTCGGGAAACCGTTTATCCTCCAAATGGTCGCCGGATTTTGTTCCCAAAAGAGAAGACTTTGCTTCCATCCCTCTCTGGATCAAGATTAAAAACCTACCTCTATCCTGCTGGACTCCAGAGGGAATCTCGAAAATAGCAAGCTGTGTCGGTGTGCCCCTGGCGGTGGATGCTCTGACTGCGGCGAAGACCAGATTAACCTTCGCCAGGGTTTGCGTCCAGGTCAATTGCTCTGACCCTCTTCCTGATGAAATCTTTTTATCTGTGGATGGTAAATTGACACCCCTCTCTGTTCTCTATGACTGGAAGCCTAACCCTTGCGATTTTTGCCGCTCTATATACCACTCCCCTTCTCAATGCCCAAAAAATCCAAACCCACCTCCAAACCCCCCTCCACCGTCTAAATCGACCAACCTCCCTCCCACTGCTCGTGGCCGCAGCACTAGTCGCCGACCAAGGACTAGCCAGCCGCCAAACTCCAAAGCCATTAGCAAACCTTCTACCTCTGCTGCTGTTCAGGCTGTTGCGCCTCCTCTTCTCCCAACCCACACCCCTCTACTACAACCCCCTGTCCATCCCGTCTCCATTCCTAACCTCAATTCGCCCACCTCTGATATTGCCCAAACTGACAATCCTCCCCCTCCTCTTAATGACTTGAATCCTCCACCTCAAAAGTCTGCTATCATTCTTACCACCAATAAATTTGATCTTCTGTCTGAACAGCAGGACTTCCAACCTCCTCCTTCTCCTTCTCATCAACCTCCTCCTTCCCCTTCTCAAAACACTTACAAAGACCCTCCCCTGTCTTCTCTTTTGGTCCAGGAGAATCCTATCCGACTATCCTGCTCCGAAAATACCTCCACTAGCACCCCTTCCCACAGTGCTAGTTCTAGCCACTCTTCAGCATATGCCAAATCCAGTCCAAAAAACACTAGGAGCAAGCAAGCCAAAAAGGCTAACAATACCAAAAATAAACATAAATGACCCTCCCCAGATTAGCTTCCTGGAATGTTCGGGGTTTTAATAATGCCTCCAAAGTTTTGTCTTGTAAGTCTTTGGTTAAAAAATTCAGTTTGGATATGATATTCATTCTTGAAGCAAAAATTTCGGCTCAGTCTCTGGCTGACGACTGGTTTTCCCGCACCCATTCGATCTTTCCTGATGAAGGATCTTGCAACAATTTTGCTCACTCCTCTCCGGGCCGCATTTGGATCAAATGGAATGCCCAGAGAGTTACTTTCAAACCTCTTTTTTCTACTTCTCAAATCATCCATGGTGTTATTTCTCGGGGCCAGACAGAAATTTGTTATATTTCTGTCATTTACGCCTCTAATTTTGTCTCGGAAAGACAGTCTCTGTGGAATCAAACTGCTGGGCTTGCTACTTCTATTTCACTACCATGGGCAATTATTGGAGACTTTAACTGCTGTATGTCTCCCGCTGATAAGGTTGGAGGTACGCCTTTACATTGGAGCAAACTGGGTGAGTTAAACAACTTTGTGTTTAATACTGCTGTTACTGACCTTGCGGCTGTTGGTCATTTTTACACTTGGTTTAATCAGAGATTAGATGCCCCGATTCATATTAAATTGGATAGAATCTTCATTAATGACATTTGGCTGAATGCTTTTCCAAATTCTTACTACATTATATATATATATATATATATATATATATATCCTAATTGCATTTCACACCTCATTTTTTATATCACTCTTCATAATTAGTTTCATCCCACTTTCACATATCATCCTCATGCTTCCACCCACGTCTTAATCTTCCTTTTTTTTCTCTTTCTTCTCGCTCTCCTATTCTTTTCTACTAAAAATCTCTCGAGGATAAATAAGAGAGGAAATTGCATTGGAGTTGGTAGGCAAAGGCGAAATTCTTATGTGAGTTCATCGAACGTCAGCTGGAGGTCAATCAGGATGCATCACGTCATCAATACGTTGTATTTCATCATTGTGTATCAGATGACGTGGTGCGTTCTGATTTGGCCTCCATACCTTTCGGTAACTAGGCATAATAATTTTTCAAGGCAAAGGCATTTATAGGCCCAGCCAACATGACAAAATAAGTAGAAGAGAAAGTCATATATAAGCTCACAGAGAGAGGGAGTCCGAAGACCAATAAAAAAATATCACATCACCTCATTGCTCGGTATACCGAGCGCTTAACCAGATGGGAGAACCGTCCAGTATCCACACAGAATAATAGCTCCATCAATAGGCCAACATTATGAGATATGATGAGTACCCATTGAATTTCATTAACTCTATTAACAAAGTACTAGATGATATAAATAAGAATATTTGTGTTAAATATGTAAAAATAAATGATTCGGGTGTTATATATGTAAATCCTCTAAAAAATTAATATATTGTTGCTAAGAAAAAAAAATTGTGGAAAAAATGTTTTGATGCAAATTATATCACAATGGATTTAAAAATCATTAAATTTATTTTGAAACTAGTTTTTTTATGTAAATAATTTGAATTGTATTAATCCTAAAATAAATTCATTGAAAGAAAAACAAACAGCCAAATGTCCAAAAAATAGAAGAAAAAAAAACAATTATTATTTAAAAATAAAATTGGCCAAAAAATTTTGCTTGGCTGTAATTGTAAAAGTCAATTATGCTCTTATTTTGTTCCTAAAAAATATTCATTCTTCAGATCTATTGTCTGCTCTTTCTTTTATATTCAATTTTATTTTTCTAATATTTTTTATCAACCCTTTCTTAACGGTTCAGATCCAATTGCAGATTCAACTTTAGATTCAAGTTCAGTTTGAGGCTTTAAGCTTGGTAATAAGAGAAGTGATTTTAACGGTTCAGATTGAAGTTCAAAAGAAGTGATTTTAACGGTTCAGATTCAAATCATAAATATAGGTAAGATAGTTTATTTTAGGAAAGCTTAGTCACACTTTTAGGTTGGATTTCAAAACCTTAATTTGCATTCTTTGCTTGGTTAGGAATTAACACGTGTTGAACTTTTATTGGAAGTTTTGGAATTTTAGGCACATCAATTCTAGAATTTGCAAAGTCTGCCCAATGCAAGCTATAATGGCATTTTCAGATGTAAAAGGAGTCTTGCATAAAAAGCTAGCCTGCCTAATGGGTCGGCCATAAACAGCCCCATCTTTTTGACGCCTTTATTCTATATATAGACATGTCAATATTGAACCCGACTCGAAAACGATCCAAAATTTTGGGTTTGGGTTGAACCGAACATGAAGCGGGTCGGGTTCGGGTCTGGAAAATTGACCCACTTGAAAAACCGGTTTGGGTTCGGGTTGGCTCGGGAACTCGGGAATGACTCGGAATGGCAAGGGTTTACCTAAAAACTTGTCTATCCCGGTTGCCCCATGGCCTAAGTGCCCTCTTGTCCCAGCTGCCTGCGTCACATTGCATCGCGTCTCGAGGCAAACCACCAGCGTAGCATACGTAGCTTCCCGAGGCCAGCTGCCAAAGTTTGCATTCCGTCTAGCCCGCTTCCCGGCGTTCCCGCTTGAGTTCCACCGGCTGTTGACCCGCTGCCGTCGACTGTTGTCCCACGGGTCAGGTTCAAGTTCAGAAAATCGACACGTTTGCAAAAACGGGTTGGGTTGACCCAAACTCAAATGATGCCGGGTCAATTTCAGATTCGATCCAAACCCGACTCGTGACCCAAAATTGACACCCCTAATTATATATATATTTTTTATTTGATATGATGATTATTGAAGCTTAATGAGGAAAGTTTAGTCAAATATAGAAGATTGTCTGCTGGTTGGTTGGGTAAATACTATTTTGCATAATTATAAGAAGATTATATATATATTAGCTTTATTTTTTAGGCGATAATCATTTTTCTACTTAGCATGCAAGAAAATTTTTAAAAATTAGATTTGCTTAATATTTATAATTATTTATTTATTTTTAATTATAATGATGATTTTGTTCATATTCTTTTCGTTCATGTTCTTACTTGACATTTGTAAAAGGATGTATTTTGGTGTATGTTCTTTGCTAATGATATTCTTCTTGTTGATAAAATTAAATAGAGTTGAAAAAAATGAACTATATAGGTCAACTTTAGACATACATATTTTGGTTTGAGTAGATCTAAAACTGAATATATGGAGTGTAATTTTAACAAAAATATCAAGTCGTTAAACAGAGTGCATGTTTTAGATATCTTGGATCTATTATTGAAAATGGTGGTGAAATAGATAGAGATATTATTATTAGAATTCAAATTAGATTGTTGAAGTAGAGGAATGCATCGAACCAATTATCTTATAGAAAATTACCCCTCAAAGCTACAGGAATTTTTTTTTAAGAATGTGACGAGACTTGCAATGTTTTATGGTACATAATATTGGATATTAAAAGAAAAACATAAAATTAAGTTAAGTGTAACATAGATGATGATGCTTAGGTGGAGAGTAATTATTGTGTCCGGACGCCGAACGTGTCCAGAGACCAATAACATCATCCCACGTAACTTGGAGCTCGGTACCGAGCACTCGGTATTGCTCGATATACGTCCAGATTTTTCATTTTTTGTCCGGACGTAATAACTTTTCCTTAGGTGGATGAGTGATTTTACACTTATAGATAAAATGAAAAATAAGTATATCCATGAAAAGGCTGGAGTAGCTTTAGCTCCAGTGATAGATAAGATTATAGAGATACAACTTAGATGATTTGATCACATAAAGCGTCAACCTTCGGATGATCTCGTTATGAGAGTAGATGTATTAGATCTGACCTCTGTTAAAAAAGATAAAGATAAATTTTAAAAAATATGATTATAACTAAAAAATAATATTTTTATTAAATTTAAATAATAATTTGACTCTTAACAGTATTTAAGTGCCGAAGAAAGGAAGAATCGTAGCACTTTATTTGAATTACTTTTGATGACAACACGTTATTCGGCTTTGACATTTTTTTTTTGGATAAAATTGAGATATGTTTATAAGAAAATTAGTCTGCAAAAGAAAAATTCTTATTATTAAGAATGGTTAAGATTGACAGAAATCTTTTTGACAGAGACATTTGTTCTGAGTAGTGGAAGACAGCTGCGAAGAATATCCATATCCAGATATTATAGGCAGGAAATTGATGGCAAGAGAAGAAATTCTTGCTGGTAAAGGCAACAGAATTCTATTTTACACAAACATTTTCGATTGCATAATAAAATATTAGTGAACTCTCAATAATTCGCCAACACACACGCAAATATATTAGTTTAACAATTCATATTAAAAATATAAATGATTATTTTTAAATAAAAAAAATTTGATGATAGAGCATAAATCTCTTAAAATAAAAGAATTTAAACTGAAATTATTCTTTGTAAATTTCTTTTCTATTTACAAGCGTTTATATTGTGTAAGTTTATCAGTTGATTAAGATATTTTAATAAAAAAATATATGAGAATGGGGCTTAAAGTTCTTGGAAAATGTTTTAATACTTGTACAATATATAAGTAATTAATATTATATTAATTTTAAGAATATTAAAGAGTTTTGAGCTCCACTTTGATTTATATTAGGGTTTGTTGGGGTTGTTGTGAGGAAAAAAATTTAACTATTCTGATTATAAAAAGTAAATTTTCAAAAAATAAAATTTCTTTTAAGTAATGAAAAAGCAATAAAAAATTAGTAGTAGCACATTTTATTGTATTGATTTTATCAAAATTTTATATTGCAGTAATTTAATTTTGTATTAAATTTATTTGATTTGATCACACATTATTTGCTTCTAAGTTCATGCTAAAATTTTCAAAATTTTGGGATTATTTCTTTTTTTTTTTGGGCTTACTGATTAATATTGCATGTTTACATTAAAATAAAAGTGAATTTTTGTTTGGTTTATACATAGTAATCTATACAACAACAACAACATCAAGTCTTTGTCCCACCACGTGGGGTCTGCTACATGAATCATTTTTCTTCATTTAACATTGTTGTTGTCAAGTCCCAAGTTATGGATGAGAAATGTGGAAGGTTGTGTTAGGTAGTCGACAACCAACCTAAAACTTATCGAATAATTAGGGGTGTCAATTTTTGACATGGCCCGAACCCGACCCAGAAAAATCTGGGTTATGGTCAACCCGGACCCGAAATAGGTCGGGTTCGGGTTCAACAAATCAACTCGTTTTAAAAATCGGGTCGGGTTCCCAGCAACATGAAAATGACCCGAAATTGATACAAAAACTCATATTTGACCCGGAAACCTGAGATTGACCCCTTTTGACCCGAAAACTAGCAATTTTATGTCAACTTCGGGTCATCCGTGTCGGGTCGAGTTGACCCGGACCCGAATCGGGTCAGGTTTGGGTTCGGAAACCTGGCCCGTTTTTAAAAACGGGTCGGGTTCGGGTTGACCCGAATAGTGTTGGGTCAGTTCCGGGTTTGACCCAAACCCGACCCGAATTGACACCCCTACGAATAATCATGACATGAATTCTTTAATAAATAATAATCTATGAATACTCAAATTTTCTTATGTATGAGAGCATACTATGCATTATTTTAATCTTAATAGAAAACCCTAATCCTAATTCATATCGCATCAAATTGTATCAACTAAATGCAAGATATATTAGTTGGGGCAATCAAGGTTCAATTAATCATGTAATTTAGATATGATCCAATAATAAACAAATTTTATTAGATATATTCGTAATAGATGGAAAATAAAAAAAAGGAGTTTATTTTATTGGCATAATTTTAGTTTGATTTAGGCGTTATCTGGGATACACTACATGAAAATCGTCATTTTTCGGCAGATATTTTGGCCGGAAAATTGGCCAAAATCCATCGGAAATTAGCATTTTTGGCGGAAATATTTTCGCCGGTTTGACGCGCGTCAAAAAAGGCCTTTCGGAGCAAAATAATTCGCCAAAAATTTTGCCAAAAATGAGTTATTTTCCTGTAGAGATAGTTTTTTTCTATTATTTTTTTGTTGATTTCTAAAAAAACTGTACTAAAAGATTCTATTAGAAAGAAGTAAAAAAAATCTCAAATGAAGCCTTAATTTAGATTAATTGCCATAATGAGATTTTTTTTTTTAGTGAGGGTTGATGGCTAATGTAGTGGACTTTGGCTTTATTAAAAAAAAAAAAGAAAAAGTAAAAAAGAGGAATGCATTTGTTTTCTTTTCTTGATAGTTGGACGTGCAACTTTCTTAAGCTTTATTTATTAAGGATTGTTTGTTTTATTGTATTAGGACTTTAGGAGTGGGAGTAAAGCAACTATCATGGCTTTTAAGTTTTCAAGCATTTGGTCTAAAGTAAAAATAAATTCAAAATAGTCCTCTAAGGGAACAATTATTAGGTACAGACACCTGACGTAGCTCTACATCCGGACGTCAATAACATGTTGTCGCGTGCTCTTACTCTTTACCGCGCGGCCCGACGACCCGACCCGGAACCTGGTATTGCTATGTTCGGGTATTGCTAGGTATTGCTCGGTATTGCTTGACAATAACGAGAAATACCGCTCTGCCAAGACCAATATCTAGCAATGCCGAGTAATACATAGTAATACCGAGCAATACCTAGCAAAACTGGAATATTGCTCGGTATTGTTAGGTATTGGTTTTGACATAATTATATTTTTCGTTATTGCTGAGCAATATCGAGCAATACCTAGCAATACTCGTCTGCACAAATCAGTCAATACATAATAATATCTGTCTCTCTCTCTCTCTACTTGTGAACATCCCTATACTCGCTCACGATCTTTGGCTCTTCATGTGCTCACGAGTCGCGCCTTTAACATTCAATTAGTCTCAAACAATTTTGCACCCATGTTGGTAACATCAATCTCAACGAAACCCATCGAACTCATTGTTCCTTAAATTTATTAAATAGTTCAAAAAATACATATTAAAATAATATATTAATACAAATATATGTATTTAAAATATATATTAATATAAATTTAAGATTCGTTTTACTTCCAACTCAGTGCTTAAATAATTTTCTATATTTATTTTGTAACCAACCAAATAATCCTGAGTATTCTAAATAAATTTAATTTACAATGTATTTTAAATGCTCACATGTTACATTCAAATAACCCCTTAACTTAAGATTATAATACAAATTATTCATATATTACACTGATCTTAAAATAAACAAAAAAAATTAAGCTTAACTTAATTGTTTTTTTAGTAAATTTTTCAAATAAATCATAGAATTGAAATTGAAATTGATATTATGACAATCTTCTACATTAACCTAATTTTATTTATTTTCAATTTTCTTCTAAAACTTTCATCATTTCAGAATAAATTCAACTTGAAGGAGAACTATTATATTCTTAAATTCAAAAAATTAAATTTTGACGACTAAAAATTCATGAAGCCTCAACTTATTGTTGATCTGTTAGTCTCACTCACAAGAATTAATAGAGATAAAAAAAAGGCGCAAAAAGACCAGTAGAGAGGGAGAGAGAGAGAGGAGAAATTATTCTGTGCGGGTGTTGAACGCAGCTCTACATTCGAAGACCAACCAAAATGAGTTACGTCAGCAATACCGAGTGTGGTATCGAGTAGTACTAAGCTGCGATATCGAGCGGTACTAAACTGCGGTACCGAGTAGTATCAAGCCACGGTACCGACATGACTCATTCTAGTTGGTCTCCAGATGATGTTCGATGCCAACATAGAATAATTTCTCTAAAGAGAGATGTTAATGCTATTGTTAATTAGATACTAATTCAACAAAAAAGTACTATGAAGGTAGAGATTTCTGGCAGCAAGAAAGAGAACCGAAATGAATAAAAAAAAAAGTAAGCAAATAACATCAATCTTCTTAAAAGACAACAAGTTCACATGCCATAATTTGGGCACCACATTACAGTTGTAGTTGGTGAGAAAGGGGAGTCAAATTAGTGAGCAAAGGCTTCAACAATTGCATGATTGTCTTTATTATCCAGTGGACTAAATTATATAACTAAATTTTTTTATAAAAAAGTCTAAAGAAAGCTCCACTGCCAAACCCCCATATGCATGAGAGATTATTATGTATGGACACAGCTTACCATCCAGAAGCCAATCAGGTGCAGCTACGTCATCCAGTACCGAGCTCAATACCGATAAGTACCGAGCCGTAGTACCGAGTATAAGTGACATGGTGCATTTTCATTAGGCTATGAAACGGCGTTCAGCGTCCGCACAAAATAATTCATCCAGATACATAGTCCACTATCAAGCATGACGAGTGCACCATCAATACTTTCAACTATCCAACATGGAATAGACTATAGATATATACAAAAATATATGATTAACAATAATCATCTTCATAATCATCCATTCATTTTCTTAACAAGAAGCATGCTTAATTTTATACCCATAATTAACTTTTATAAGGTCCCCCATCCCACTATCGAATAAGAGTAAAACCCCATACCAGAAATTAAAAAAAAAAAGGTGGCAAGTTAGTGCACCAGAGCCCCACAGGGCCAAAAATAGGGAGTGGAGTGGGCTCCCTCAATGCCCCAGTGAGCACTTCAGGTAGCACTGAGAAAAAGACAGAGAATGTGGAGACAGTTGTAAGTGGAGTCTCCTTTTGTCCTCTGCTTGACTCTTGCAATCACACCACCTTTGACAAGTAAAAAAAAGTTAAGAAAGTGGCAAGATACACGGGAAGGGTCTTCCTTCAGACCTGTTATGAGGATCATCCTGGAATAAGCGTGGCTAAGTGGTTAGGTAGCTTAACTTTCGCCGCCCTACGACGGCGGTGTGTTAGGTTCGTTCTTCACTGAAGGATTTTCCGGCTGGTGCTGTGTGTGGTAGATGGCAGCTGCAAGGGATATGGGCATCATGCAGAGAGCTTTGGACTGGAGGAATTGCATTGCTGCCCCCACATCTTCTTCCATAAGCTTTGCTACCTGCCGTTCGGTGCCGTCGGTCGACCATTTTTCCCAAACCTGTTGCTTGGTCCTTCCATCACTACTGCTGTCTCCCTAATACGAAATCCAATACATATTACAAGAATATTTATATGTAGATTAGCTAAGTTTAGAGCAAGTGCAGTTTAGCTAAGATTTCGTTTGAGACGGCTTTCTTCCTGTTTCTTAAAGCAATTTTCAAGTACAAAAATTAAAACTTTTGTACTAAAAAACTGCTTTAAGAAGAAGTAAGAAAGCCATCCCAAACGAAGCCTAAGTTTAGAGCAAGCGTTGTGAATCCTACTAAACAAAGTACATTTGCATAAATATATTTGTGAATTGTGAAATATTAAGCTATTCATGCTTCATACGATGTAATGTTTATTCAACATATTTGCTTATTACCTCAGTTTGTGATAGTGGAATATCAGCTACCAGCTGTGCCACAGCACCTGCACCGCCCAGTCTGCTCATGCTTAGAACCTGCCATTTTGAAAACAGATTAAAATGTATTGTGAGATACAAATCACTTGCGACGATCATTAGAAATGAACATTTAAGGAGATGCTAAAACAATTTACAAAGAAAATATGGGTAACAAGATTGACAACTTCAACTGTTACGGAATCAGGTGGTTTCCAGCCGAGCACAGAACTTTATAAATCACTAGAAAGCTGCTTAAAGAAGCAGTAAGAAAGCCATCCCAAACGAAGCCATAATTTCATATAACAACTAATGATTCCATGTTGACAGACTGATTACAAAAACTTCGGAATTGCCAGCAACAGATTAGTATGAAACAAAATCAGATACTTTCCGCATATCTTGGGCAGATAAGAGAGGCTTACTGTGACTTTATATCAGTTGGTTATACTTGCAAGGTACGTGCTATATGCAGAAGAATATTTCTTGAACTTATGACAATTCTGATATTTTTACACTCGCTAAAACACTAAAGGTCATGAAGAGTTTTAGCCAATGGCAAAAAATAAAACATGTGAATGTTGGAACCAGATGCGAAATGCAGACCGCATCAGCAATCCATTGAATTACTACTTTATTAATGTCCATAACATCTATTAAATAAAAAGCATTAGAATTGCACAAGAGACTTCTTAGCATGTCTAAGACTGTGGATCAATTAAGTAATGAATTCAACGCTTAGTATTTCCATAATTTAATGCTCATGCAGCGCTCCATAATGTGGTGAACATTTTTGTTTGAACTTTTATGGTGGCTCTTATGGATATAATATATGAAATTAAGAAAATTGATATGATTAAAAAATAGATTATTCAATAATCTGCAAGGCTGAAAAAAATCTAGAAACAAATCTATACAACAACAACAATGACAACAACATGCCTTTATCACACTATGTAGGGTTGGTTACATGAATCATTTTTCTCCATTAGGTCCTATTAAGTATCAAATTCTCATTTAAATCTAATTAAAAAAAGATATTTTTTTAATACTTTCTAACTAAGTCTTTTTAGGTCTACCTCTAACTTTATTAACATAGGTTGTATCTAACACATCTACTCTCCTAACAGGGTCATTGGAAGGCCAATGTTTTAAGTAACCAAATCATCTAAGATGACTCTCTAATCTTATCTGGCACTGGAACTACTTCAACCTTTTCACATATATACTCATTTCATATTCTAAGTATAAAGTCACTCATCAAACTGAGTATCCTCATATCTGCAACACTTAACTTAATTTTATGTTTCTCTTTTAATGACAAATATTTTGCAACATAAATCATTGTAGGTCTCACCACCATTTAATAAAATATCCCTTAAGTTTGAGGGGTACTTTTCTATCACAAAAGAGGCTCAACGCATTCCTTCACTTTAACCATCCAACTTGAATTCTACTAATAATACCCCCCTTCTATTTCACCATCGCTTTGAACAATAGACTCGATTAGATCTTTTTAATGACTTGATCACCCAATGTCAAAATTCCACCATTAAATCTATTATACTAAAATTACACTCCATGTATTAGGATTTAGAACAACTAAAAAGAAAAATCTTTGACTCTAAGGTTGACCTCCATAATTCAAGCTTTTCATCAGCTCCCTCTCAAGTCTTATCAACAAGAAGAATATTATCAGCAAAAGGGATATGCAAAGATACAAATCTATGCCAATTCATAAAATATTGGGATCCTATTTACCTTGACTTGAAGCCTCAAAAACTTGACATAATCTACTATTTCATCAAGCATGGCTGCTCGATCTGTCTGCATAGGGAACAAAAACATTGATATCAGCATAGAAAAGCATATCTTTAAAATGATACAAAAGCAGGATTAACAAATGATAAAAAGTGGGTTGACAAATTTTATAGTGATCTAATTTTACATTTGATGAGTGTAAGACATATTTTAATTAAATAGACAGATGATAAACGAAAGAGATTTGTAGAAGTTGACCTTGTTAGTATTGGGAACTAGTTCCTGCAAGGCCCTCATCCTTTCCGCTATTCTTTCTCTACGTAGCTGCCATGAAAAGAAAATGATTAGAAGGAAACTGATATTTGGAAGTATAACTATTCTCATATTATCATACCCCTAAATTATCATGCAATGCATTGCAAGTTCAAAGAAACAGAGTAAAGCTGCAGTAATCATAAAATGAAAATATTAGCTATTCATTAAATCGCCTATGTAGAGAATCAATGTTATGCTGTATAAATCCAATTGTTTCAAAAACAAATTATCGTGACAAAAAATTGGACAGATTATCTCAAAGTATGTTATAACTAATGTGATAAAATTAGTAGCAATGAGGAAGAATGCAGGCAAATATTACGATGCCAACAGAACAAATTTTGAGATTAGGCATAAAATCTTTAAGGCATCCCATATAATCCAACATCATGCATCTTCTGCAATAAAAAGGTTACTTGAATTAATGTAATAGAGATTGGAACATTTAAAACATGATTTTAACTCTGTTAAGGCAAAACTTTCCAGTTAAAAAGATGTGATATGGCACTACGCATAAATGATTTTTTGCAACACAGCATAAACTTTAAGAAATTGAAACCCTTAACAAAACTTAAACTTCTTATATCAGAGTATTTTACATCTAACTAATCATTCAATATATTTAAGCAAATGATGCCACTGAGAAATCCCACATCTTCCAATATCTACTTTCTGAATCCGTATTTACTTTCTGTTTTGAACTAAGTATGCCCAGGATTTGGAACTCGTAATGGCAGCTTTTGAAAGAACTTCTGAAAAAATAGCTTAGAAAGTATGGAGGGAAGATGACATTGCCAACCCAACTATTTGGGAACAGTTTTATGATCATTTTTCTTCCCAAAATACTAACCCATCGTCCATAAGACGCATTTGTTTATTTATTATAAACAATATGATAACCCAACACCTCATCCCAGCCCCAATCATCCTTCTCCATACTCAGGTATACACGAGGGAAACCATATGCATCTTATATTCTGACCCCGCAATTTTTGCTATGGTTTATTGCTTTTCTTTACATCATTATTGCACTCAATAAACTGACATACTGAATCCATTTATCTACTGCTTCCCTTTAGCACAGCTGCTGTAATCTTTGGAAGTAGCTGTTGTGCTTCCTTATTTCAAAGAAAGACAGCCATCACTTCTCTTCCCTGTCAGATCGAAATCTAAGCATGAATGGGTTAAAGTGCAATGCGGCCAACACTCTAATACATCATAGCATTGTGTAATCATTTGAAGAAACTAATAATCATTAGTAGTGAACAAACAAAATGCAAAAACCATTTCTTATGATTTTGGAAAATAACCTCATAACTAGGGGTGCAACTGAGTCAAGCTGACTCATAAGCCGGCTCAAGTTCGACTCGTTAACGGGCTCGATGAGTCGAGCTTGAATAGGATTTCGAGCTCGATGGGCTTATCGAGCTTGATTTCAAAAAGCCCTCTGCTCGACTCAATTACTCATCGAGCGGCTCGCGGAAGGCGGAATAGAATCGCTTGCAGAGGGATCGCAGTCGGACGCGAAACTAAACCGGATCACAGTCGAAACGGGAAGACGATTCGCACAATCACATGTGGGGGGAAGCGGGATTGGAGCTCGAGCGGACAAGAAAACAAAACCGCGGGCGAGACGGAAGACGAGCAGGAATCAAAACAGCGGGCAAGAAACGGACGAGGGACACGGATCGGAGCTCAGACTTGACGAGCAGCTTGATGAGCTTGTATTCTCCTGGCAAGTCGACCTCGAGCTCGACATGAGTTCGATCTCGGTAGTTGGCTCGCAAGTCGAGCTCGAACAAGGCCATACTTGAGCTCGACTCGGCTCGTTTGCACCCCTACTCGTAACAAATAACAACTTCGTTAAACATGCAGATGAAGGAACAATATGACCAAGGTAGTCCAAAAAGACCAACAATACAATTATGGATGCCAAACAAAACTGTAAAATAATTAGGAATCACTCAAGGTTTAGATTGTACAAGTTTATAGCTCACATGATTGATCTTCAATCAAGCTTATCTTCAGCAACTTCTTTTGACAGCATATTGTACCGTGTTAAGATCTTAGGGGCATCACTGTTTATTTCTTCATTTTTATAGAATATCCAAATACATGCTTAGTGCATGTTACTCTGCTCGTGTTTTATATTAGAAAAAAATATGTATGTTACATAATGCACACAAGTCAAAAACATCGGGCGATGTTTACAAAAGCAAATTTCAATAATGCATCAATGTATGATCCATCAAACTACCACAATCACCTAACACAAAAGAGGATCTTTCAAATTGTGATTTATCTGAAATCTCAAACTTTGATGTTGATAGTCAAAACAAGTAAATATGAAAGCATGTGCTTGTGTGGACAAACTAAGAATGAGCACTTTCCTCAAACACTAATTAGCGGTGCGTATTTTAAACAGGATTCATGTCTCCTCCAGATGAAGCATAGCAAAAACCTCGAATCATCGAGGATAGGCCATCAGGCATTAAAAAAAATAGAAGAAATATTCATAGTACCAACTCCTAGTAAAGTAAAACAGAATAAAGACGCCAAATAGAATGCAAAACTTCCAGCAAACAAGTTACATATGCATGCAAGTAAGAAAGCATGAAATTACCCTCTCTGCTATGCTATGAGGATCAGTAGCTTGTCCACGTCTTGCCCTCACTCTTGGACGGGGAGCTGGCACTTGTGATGCTGAAGCAACTTGTGCTTGCAATGATTGACCATGAAGAATCTATCGCAGAAAAAAACCACCAAATCTTTTGAGAAGCGATTATTTTACAACTTAAAACTTAATATCAGGTGAGGTACTCAATTAGCATAACAATATCCTTTTTTTAAGATCAGGTTGCCCCAATATGTTTTATCCTACAACTTTTTAAACATATAAGTTTAATTCCAGAATTTACAATTTAACATATGAAAATTTATCCACAAATACAACAAAATTTCTCAATAATTAGTTATCGACAAAGTACCTGAGGAGAATTATGCCGGATTTGATGAGACTGCACGTGTCCGAACGCGGGAAACAAGCTCGGTAACTGAATCGAATCCCTTTCCTGCCAAAGAACAAGTGCATATCATAATTTCCTAGCCTCATTCCATCTTCTAGGGTTCATTTGGGTTGCTTGAAGTAATAAAACATGCTTTTAAAAACAGTGAATTTGCTAGATTCCGTCCTTTAGTTTGATATAGTAAGAAATCAATATTCGGCTCTAAAAGTAAGTTCATAATTACTCAAATGTATGGTTTCATTTTCCCAAACAAAACGACTGAAAACATTTCTATCTACTAACAAGCAAAAGAGCTGCATCAAAACGGTAACATGGCGGAACTGAGAATGATTGATGGCTTCAAGAAAAAGCAAGATGAGCTCACCGCATCCGACGAGGTCTTCGCCTCAACGCCCTCGCGGAGCCGCTTCCCTACGCCGCCGCCGCCGCAAGAGCCCTCTTCTGCCACGGCGAAGCCAGGCCTCCCCTGCTCCAAGCTGAGCCCAAGAGGAAACACTGAGAAAGTACCAGGAGAAGAACCGTCTCCGGAGTTAAACTGCTGCACGATCCCAGGAACCGAACTTCCGTCGCCGCCTGCGAGGCTTCCATCGCCTGTCGTGTATCCGGGCATCGAGAATATCTGCTCAAAGAAATCGTCGGTGATTCCGTCAGGCGGGGGCTGAGGTGGGTTCGCCATGACAGGGAAGATGGGAATCGTTCGGGCTATCAGAGGGCATCGACTGGACAAAAAGGGTGAGAGGGATTTAGGCGTCCAGAGAGTTCTCCCTGCAGGAAACCTCGGGAGTTGGCTCTAGACCGCGAGCATGAGAGCAAGTCGAGTTCGAGAGAGAGAGAGAGAGAATTTGTTTGTTGAAATGTCAGGACAGTGGGCTCGCAGCTCGAGAGTCGAGATCATTTAGAGAGTAGTAGACGACGTATATATAAAGGAAGAAGAAAGACGAGCATTCTTTCCTAGCATTCTTTCGTCATAGGAGTCAACTCTTTGGCTCTGTTTAGATGCTACTTGGAAGATGAGTAAATATAGACGGTAATAATAATAAATTTAGATCATAGCCACTTGAAAACCCTGAGGGAAAAATTATTAGTTCAGGTGATCTGATGTAGCTTTACGTTCGGTAGTCAATAATATGTCGCCACGTGCTTTTACTCTTTACCGTGCAGCCCGATGACCTGTCTCGCACCGGAATCCGGGATTACTATGTTAGTGTATTTCTAGGTATTACTCGGTATTGCTTGACAATAACGAGAAATACCGCTCTGTAAATACTAATACCTAAAAGAACTCGATATTGCTCGGTATTGGCCTTCACAGAATGGTATTTTTCGTTTTTGTCGAGCAAAATCGACCAATACCTAGCAATACCGAGTAATACACAAACTCTCAGGTCCGTTCCGGGTCGGATTGTCGGGCCGCGCGGTAAATAGTGAGAACACGTGTCGCCTGTTTACTCCTCACTGAATGTAAAGCTATATCAGGTTACCAGACCAAATTAAATTTCGTTGATTTTTGGCTTTCTCTTTCTTTTTTTTCAAGGCAATTGAGTTAAATTTTTTAAAGGTTTTTTTTTTAATATCAACATTTAAAAATCCTATGTTTTTGTTAATTACATGAAAAAACATTATGTGTTTTTTTGGCATAATTATTAGTTAAAAGAAAATTGAAAAAAATGCCCTCATTCTTTTGAATTTTGAGAAATTATTTTGTGCGGAGTCCGAACATGAAGAACAATCCGGATTGTGAGTACACAGTGTGTACAAGAATTTAATACACACCGTATACAAATATGCACACTCACATGTCCGAACGGTTCTTCCTGCTCAGACTCTGCACAACCATTTTTTTCTCAATCTCAGGATTTCCATGTATATAATAGTTTTCACAAGTTCTTTCAAATATAATTGTAATCTTTCATATAAATCTGCTTTTAAAATGACTCATATAATTTTAAAAAAATTATTTAAGATTTATTTACTATATGTATGGTAAATGATGTTGCATTTATGCAAGGTTACATCACAAGCTTTCAAATGGTTTGAAATGAAATGCAATGCATTAAAATGATGTTTGTAATTTTAAAAATTTTATTTGAGTTTTATTTATAATTTTTTATTTACAAAATATAAGAAATGTATATGAGAGGATTTATATGCCTATCTCTCCATGCCTTTCTATTTACATATTTAGCACTACAAACTAGAATGTGACTATTTACTTTAATAACATCTAAAATTTTTGAGATAACTAATAGTTTCATAAACCAATATGTCAAATCCTTCACGAGAGTGAGTGCCCTAACACAAAGCCCTCTCCCTTCTTGAATTTGTCTTCTCCCACTTCATCACATATGAATATTCAAACTCTCCATCCCGATTTCAAATGTTTCGATCATTTCAAAGTTGAAGTGAAGTGAGAAGGCATCTATTAGAGTTCATGTCTTCATGAAGATGAGAGGGCATTTGATGATTACTCGAGGACTATGAAGTCGTATAGACAAAACTTCAATGACTAATCAAGAGCTACGAAGCCACAGAACGGCGGGGGATTCACATGGTAATATTTCTTTGGTTGGTCTAGACATTTGAACACGTGAGGAATTGATGTATCATTTTGTTGCACTATTAGTTGTGGAGTATTAGATATCATATAAAATTATAAATGTTATTTAAGTAAATAGTGACTTTTAAGTGTTAGATATGTATTAAGTGGTAGGCATATAAATTCCCCTATATATAATGCATGAATAAAATTATGAAATTAATTTAAAATTTTTCAAAAGTATGAAATTTTGTATAAAACAAGTTTTCATATTTTTAGAAAATATGTCTAGAGTTTTTTTTAATCATTTAAGGAATTTAGAAATTATTAAAATTCAAGAAAGTATTCAAATAAATTTTATTTTCCAAAATATGATTTGTTTTATAAAATATAAAATTTTCTTCAAAAATGCCATTTAATTTACATTCCTTATTTTTATTAGTTATGGGTTTTCAAACTAAAATTGGTATTGGTTTAATATATAAAACTTATTTAATTGGACTACATCTTCAGCAACCTACGTGACATGATTTGAGTTTTAAATTTCAAATATGGAAACAAAAGGAAACATTCTAATAATTGAAAAACATGTGATAAAGATTACAATATGTTGTAGTAGCATTTGATTAGTTATTGTATGGAGCGTACATCTCACATGATAGGGTTATAAATGAATGCATACATTAGAGTGCAAGGATTGTTAATTTGTGCTTAAGCAATAGTTTTTTTTTTTTACTTAAGCAACATTTAGAGCATTGGAAAAAGAATTAATTAAATACAACATATATATTCATTCTAAAAATGTCATATGATTCAATCATAATCGTTGGATTAAAAAAACTGAGATCTAATGGTTACTAAAGATATATTCTATCTTCATTTAACATGTGTATAGGCTATCTTTAAAGGGGTGATTTTTTTTTCATCCCTTAGTCAGTTTTGATGATTTAAAAGACAAAGTCTAGTAGTTCAAGACACTATATAAGTTGGTGCACCTCATTCCTATGATTATGGGGTGCTGTGTGCTCTTGATCATCTAGAACATAAAGCTTTAGGTTTGGGAGTTATATATCAACTATGATTTTGAGCCAAATCATTTAGGTGGCTTTGTTAATACTTTATGAGAATGCTTGGACCTTCCTTTTGGCTTGTTAGCACCTTAGTTTTCACCATAACCGCCACGTTCTTCGTTCTTGAATAGGTCTTTTTATTAGAGATACCTTGTTAGAGTGCACAAGGGTGTTCTAATTATAATACTTAGTTTTAAAATTTGCAAGTAAATTCTATAGTTTATATAGGTTGTTGCCTAATATTTGGTATGGATTGTTAAGGTGGTTCAAGAAAGGATTATGGATATAGGGATTGGTCATGATTTATTCATACTTAGAATACTCAATTGGGGGTGTAAGATCATGCTAATATATACCTTAATACATGGGGTGATATATAATTAGCCAATTAGATGCAATAAGTGATTAAAGTATTTGGTCATGGACCAAATTATCATAGGCATTTGATATGAACCCCTAAATGGCTTGATAAGGTCTTGAGGATAGCTTAGGAACAAAGCCAAGAACCCACAAGGTTAATTTAGAAGGATTGGATTTTGTTGGGTAGTTTAGGCTCATTTGAGCTTAGCTGTTCTTATTGGACCACAACTTGGGTTTGGTTAGCCATGAGAGTCTTTACTATAGTCATAAGAATAGGGGTAGCTAAGAGTTTTAAGACTAAACTTGGCTAATTGGAGTCCCAAGTGCTTAGTTGTTAGGATTAGGCTTCGGATGGGCCGGTTAATATTGTTTAGTTAACCATATAGAGGTCAATTTAGGTTTTATGGGTTCAATAGATTAAGATTAGGTTGGGTTAATTTGACTTAAATGATCAATTGAGTTAGGATTTAGGTTAAGCTGATAAAAAACTTTCTTAGAATAATACTTGGTTGTACAAATGAAGCCACCTGAATTAAAAAATATTTATATAATACTCATTATAATTTGAAAAGAAATTACAGTATAAACTCTACAATAACTAGATTTTTCCTAAAGTAATCCCTAGACTAATATTTCTTACTTGATTTGCATTAGATTAATTTGATTTGCACAAATTGATGATAGAAAAAATATATTTAATAGATTGTAACTTTCATCATTTTATTTTTTTAATCTATGAATCACTATACTTCATTTAAAATATTTTTTGGGTTTTAATTATTGTTATATAGTATTTCAAAATCGCAAATATAAAATAAAACAAATTATTTCATTTAGAGGCGCTGTTTGGTTTGGAGAAAAAATGTGTTTAAAGTATTCCAAATAAAAAAGTTTTAAAAATATTGATGTTAAATAAGTTGAAAAAGAAATGCACTGTATATAAAGTATTCTAATTATAGTGTAAAGTATTCTTATTTCTTTTTTAATGAAAACTACCTAATATTGATAGAAATTTTTTTTCTCCACAAGTTATCTTACCATTGATGTCATTGCCGATCATCATCGCCACTAGGGCGCTTTTACAATTAACCACTGCTGCCATCCTCTACCGCCATCATCTTCCACCACCACACCATGACCGATGCCATCGACCACCACCTTTGCTGACAACCCTTTGTTATTGGTTGTCGTCATCTACCACTACTCGCCACAGCCACCACCATCATTGGTGACCCATCGTCGCCATCACCGGCTGTCAGCCGCCACTCCACCCTCCATCGCCAATCATCACTTCCACTGTCATTGGCAATCGCTGACAATGTCAACCATCAACCACTATCATTTTTGAACTTTATATTCCATTCATTTTACTTAAAATCAAACAAATAAAGCAATCACCAACATTTATTTTACATTCATCCAACCAAATAAAAAATATTCAAACACGATGCACTTCTTTTACCTTCCATTCTATATTTTTTTTAGCTAATCAAATAACTCCTTATTAAACAATCATAATCCTAAAATACGCCCAACTTAAATTGAAATAAAAATGTCAAAATTTTGCCCGTGTTGTGGCATGGCGGTTGAGGTCATTCGTGCCTCCTATATGGTCCCACAAAGTCGCTTAACCTGCCAAAAAAAAAAATCAATCTTATTAAAATGTTCTGACTTTTGTTCATCTCCACCAATCACTCCCTTGGTCGGCCTTGAATAGATTGATTTGTAGTTTTGGATTTCTCTTGAGCTTTATTAGGTTGAGATGGTTACTTCATAGGTTGGTACTGAGCAGTCGGTTTCCTTTCTGGTCTAAAAATTAAGTCTGCTATCAATCCATATTACTTTTATTATAAACTAATGTTTTTTTTTGAATTAGCGCTTCTTTTATTTTATTTTATTTCTAGCATAAAAAAGCTATACCATTATTGGCATTTTGATTTGCTAAGAAAATACAAGATAATTTATTCTTATATTATTATTATAATCATCTATTTTTTTATTAAAATAAAAGCAT